ATTTTAGTTGGGAGTTAAAGTCAGTAGTTGGAGTGGAAGAAGGAGAGCATTTCAGGCAACAGAGTCTTGTTGGGGGCAGCTAGGTGGTGCAGTGGATAGAGCACAGACCTGGGAGTCAAGGGGACCTGAGTTCAAATCCTACCTCAGACACTTGACACTTACTAGCTGTGTGACTCTAGACAAGTCACTTAACCCCTAATTGCCTCACCATAAAAAAAAAGTGTCTTGTTCATGGAACAGCCAGGAGGCCAGTGTCACTAGATCAAAGAAAATATTGTGCGGTATAACATGAAAAAAAGACTGGGAAGGCATGAGAGGGCTAGGTTATAAAGGATTTTGAGTGCCAAACAGAGCACTTTGTATATGATCTTGGAGGCATTACAAAGCCACTGAAGTTTATTGAGTAGTGTGTATGTGTGTATATGTGTGTGTGTGTGTGTGTGTGTGTGTGTGTGTGAGAGAGAGAGAGAGAGAGAGAGAGAGAGAGAGAGAGAGAGAGAGAGAGAGAGATTGCACCTGCACTTTGGGAAAATCACTGGCTCTAGATGTGTAACGAATGATTCAATGATCTTATCATCAGATCAATGCATAAAAAAGATCCATCTGGCAGGAAGTGAAGGATGAACTGCAGTGCACAGAGGATTACTCTAGTAGTCCCAATGGGTGGCAAGAATAAGGTGGTGGTAAAGAATTGGAGATCAAGGAGATCAATTAATTGGAGATCAATTGGAGAAAAGATAAACAAGTTGATGGAATACTGTTGCGCTATAAGAAATGATGAGCAGATTGGTTTCAGAAAAACCATGATATGAACTGATGCAAAGTGAAGTAAGCAGAACATGGAGAACATTGTACACAGTAACAGCAATATTGTGAAGATGATCAACTGTGCCTTAGGTACTCTAATTAAAACAATGATCCAAGACAAGTCCAAAGGACTTATGATGAAAAATGCTATACACTTCCAAACTGATGAACTCTGAATGCAGATCAAAACTTACTTTTTTTACAGTTTATTTTTATTATTTTATTTTGTGTTTTCTTTTGCAATATGGCTAATATGGAAATATATTTTGCATGACTTTACATGCATAATCAATATTAAATCACTTGCCTTCTCAAGGAGGAAGAAAGGGCAGAAAGAAGAAAAATAATCTGGAACTGAAAATTTTTTTAGAATGATTGTTAAAAATGTTTTACATGCAATTGGGGAATATTTAGTGAAATAAATAAAAACATTTTTTAGAAAGAAGAAAAAAGAAACTAAACTATCCTGTATATAGTTATACAGTTACGTGTATATGCATACATACATGTCTATATGTCTATCTATAACGTGTGTATATGTTAGCATGTTGTGTACTTTATCAGATTATAAACTCTTGAGGGCAAAGACTGCCTTTTGACTTTTTTTTGTACCCCAGGGCTTAGCACAGTGCTTGACACATAATAGGTTTTTAATAAATGTTTACTTATTGATTGATTCTTATAGAATCTTGACTTTGCTTTGGTAAACAACTTCTGTTGCAGAACCTTGATATTGGGACAATCCTAGAACATCATTACTGTCCTTTTGTTCTTCTCCTCAAAAGGAAAGCTTTTTAGGGACATATATTCTTGTAATGGTCTTATAGCTAATTGTGTAGATCTAAACATTCTAAAAAACAATTTCAAACTACTTTCAAAGAACTAGAAAACTGTACATACTCTTTGACCCAACAATACCCCTACTTGGTCTGTAACCCAAAGAGATAAAAGAAAAACACTTATAAGTAAAAAAAAAATACTTATAGCAACTCTTTTTGTGGTGTCAAAGAATTAGAAATTAAGGGGATACCTATCAATTGGGGAATGGCTGAGCAAGTTGTGGTATATGATTTAGAAGGAATATTATCATGCTATAAGAAACGACGAGCAGAATGGTTTCAGAAAAAAGAAAACCTATGAACTGATGCAGAGTGAAATGAGCAGAACCAGGAGAACACTGTACACAGTAATAAGAATACTGTAATGATAATCAACTGTGAAAAACTTAACTACTCTGATCAAGACAATGATTTATGACAATTCCAAAGGACTCATGATGAAAAATAAGATCCACCTTCAAAGAAAGAACTGATGGATTCTTTGTGCAATTTTTCCACTTTGTTTTTTCATGCTTTTTTACTTGGTGAAACATGGTTAATATGCAAATATTATTTACATGACTTCACGTGTACAATGGGCATCATGTTGCTTGCCTTCTCAATGGGTGGAGGAGGGACTGAGGAAAGGGAGGAAATTTGGGACTCAAAATAAAAATGAATGTTAAAAACAAATAAGCAATTACAAAAAAAAGAAAGGAAGAGATTGAACCCAGCTCATAATAGCTATCTTCAAATACAGGGTATCCCAAACATCACAGTGCAATTTTAAGCTACTAAAGCTAATAAAGTTAAAAAATGTACTGCATCTTTTGGGGCATTATGAATTTGAGCAACTTGTAAACTTTAGTTCAATATGATGAGAGATTTATTGAGATTTTTTGTTGTCAAAAACCATAATGCATTTACTTATGAAAGTAGTGATCTCCGCAACTCTAGTGCTTGCAAAGGGGTTATTTGTTGGAGATATTAGAGAAAGGATTTCTGCTTTCAGTGTACCCTGGACTTTGTGACCTTTTTTAATCTTTTCTAACACCTAGAATACAATAAAACTAGGAATTCAAAGCTGCTCCTTAAGCAATCAGATGCCCTCACACATCACAGGCACTTGCTAAGTATTTTTTGAATGGATGCTTTTTTAGTCATATTTTAGTAGTCCATTTAGTGGCCCTAGAAGAAGACTAGTATAACTTTAATGACATTGTGTTCAGGATTTGTATTTGAATCCTGATTTCTCACTTAATTAGCTATAATACCTTAATTAGGGCACAGTACTACAGACTTTCTCAGCTTCTGTCTTTTAATTATAAAATATAAATACTGCAATGTTCAAATGGTTATTTTAAGGATCAATGAAAGTGCTCTGTATACACACACACACACATATACACACATACACACATATACATACATATATATATGTGTTACTTCTAAAACAACAAAATTATAAACTCAGGAATATGCTTATGATTCTACACAGACTCTAACTTAAAAAATTGTTCTTGAAACCCCAAAATATAGTAAAATATTAAAAACTGTTGAAACAGAGTCTCATGAGAGGCATATCCTAATATGGCTCCTTATCTTCTTCTTTCCTTGGGATAGAGATGGCAGCATAGCATACAGAGAATACTGATTTTGTGGTGAAGAAGACCTGAGTTTGAATTCTGCTCAGATAAGTCATTGTGCAATCCTTGGGCAAATTTGCTTAGCTGCTATTAGCCTTATTATTGTTATTTGCAAAATGGGGAAACTAATATCTCCTTCACATTTTGAGACACAATTAAGATATTATTTATAAAGAACATTGAAAGCCATAAAAGTCTACTAAGTGTAGTAAAGAGTGATGACAAAATATTTCTATGATATTTACAATTCTTAAAATCTTTAAACGTGAGTCATTGTTATAAGATAACTGTTTGATATACAATGGTAATGACATTGAATAGGGAGTCAGGAAATCAAGTTCTAGTGATCTTGAATATGTCACTTGACCTTTTCACTTTCCTTATATGTCTGGATTATATCTGTTCTCTGATTCTGTGAGTTCTGAGAATGAAAGATATTATAGAAATATTTCTAAGAGAGTTGGTTTTACTGGTCTGGCTCTCTCCTACTGCACAAAATTGCCTTTACCTTCAATGAAAATGGCAAGTGCAAAGAGAAAATTCATACTGGGGAAAATATATCCCATTGTTATGATCACTGTAATGATCATTATCATTATAAAAGAATATATTACCCAATAAGTTCCAAGTGAGCAATGGCTGTGTCTTTTTATATGTTCCTTTATAGTGCTGAACACTTTATAGGTTACTTATTGTAAAATAAGCAGAAGAATTTTTTGTCAATCATTAAAAAGATGGATGAACTTCTGTCCACTGCCTTTATCCCCAGTGGAAAATGATATATTTTTCCAGTTGCTGAATTTTTAATTTGCACATGAAGAAGTTTAAGTCCTACCTACCATTTTTCTTGTGTGTTCCTCACTAAATTCTCAGATTGATTGGTCAGTGCAAACAAGTAGGAGATTCAGACAAAGAACTAATCAATTTGTTGGATCATTTTCTTTTTTTAAAAAAAATTAAACAGGATTATACAGTTTCTTTTCCCCTCCTGCCATAAAATTGACTAGCTGTTTAGACTTAGTGAGGACAGCTAAACTGACTAATAATTATACTCATGTCCATAAAGGATGCTATGTTAGGATCAAACTCTTCTGATATGAACCTTTTCCCTGTAATTCTGAAATGAGAGATGAATTCATACTTTGGTGAGCAGACAGTTGTGAAATTGCTCCAACCCCCCATTCTCACATACATACATATGCATACATGCATACATATATATATGTACACACACATACATATATACATATATATATACATACATACATATATTCACACACACACCTATGCCATTCTTTCCCTATCTTGAGTAAACTCCATAGAAACCTACATAAATGGTGCATAAAGCTTTCATGACTCAAGCCCTAAGGCTACCCATTTAAGTGGTCCCCACTGTATTCACATATAAACAGTTGCACAGTATATTAAGAATTGCAATAATAGCAAAACAGCTAAAACAATATTAGCATGATTTTATTTTTATTTTTATGGCTTCTTGACTAGTTTGAAAACTACTTCCTGGCCTTTAGGAAGTGACTAAAATGCTAGTTAAACATACATTTATGTCAAGGAAAGTGAGGAGGGTTACTGTTGGTTTTTTAAATGGGTGAAGGTGGTGATAGAGGGGAAAGGGATCCTAAAAAAAGGTTCAGAGACATAAATTTCAGGGTCTTGCCTGTAATGAATATTCAGCATACAAGCCTCCTTGTTATCAATTAATTCAACTTACTTCCTCATCAATTTTTGCCCCCCTCAGTCTTGATGGTTTTATGGCCTAGACCCAGGCAATCCCCGTAGGCAGTCCATCTGATAATTGACACATTTTCTAACACAGCATAGTGATGCCCAAGTCAGTGCTTTTGGGCCGTGACTTGAGCTTATTGGAGTCTGCAGCAGGGACTCCTTTTATCCCTCATACGTCAGAATCCACTGACAGCTCTCCCAAGCAGGGACCGAGCAGAACTCTCCCTCAGGAAAATATATGCAAACACCTACAGAACATTGTAATGGTTGCTAGGCATCACAATGGTGACATCTTTATGATAAACACAGCATGCAGAAGAAGGCCTAATAAAAGAATAACAAATTATTACATCCAGAGGGCAATTTCGCAAGATTAACTGGTGTAATAAATTACTAACCCACCCTCCCTTACACACACACACACACACACACACGCGCACACACACACAACACACACACACACACACACCAGTCATCACAATACCATGTTACCTTTTAAGGTATTTTGCAGCAGAGACAAAAATGAGCTGGTCTATAAAAAAACATGGAACGCATAGCTGAGAATAATAAACCATATTTCACATTTTTCAAAAGCTAGTCATGGTGGCAGTGTGTGGGATTTGCCTTATTGCACTATGAGTTCATCAAGGGCTCACTAGAAAATAGGGTTATGTATGTAATTCAGGCCACAGTGTTTATCATTACTTTTCATTTGGCATTTGGATGTTCAGCAGCACTGCAATCTACATAATATCAATTCAAACAAAAGCCTGTAGCATTTTATTTCTAAAACTATTTCCATACATAAAACATTATAAGTGCTAAAAGCCAAATATATTTTCATAATAATTAGCAAATATATATGTATTAGAGGAGAGATTATGTAGGATCTTTTAAAAACAAATGATTTACCCCTCATGATGATTTTATATGGAATTTTCTACATTAAAAAGAGAATAGAAGTTATGTTATTGACCTTGAATAACCTGGTCTTTTTAAATAGGAACTGACCTTACTTTTTTCCACCATTCATAACAACTAAGAATTAGTGGAAAACCCAGTTCCTTAACATGAGAATGGGGGGAATCTAATATGTGAAAAGATTGTATTATTATTATTATTATCAGTAGTAGTAATAGTAGTAGGAGTAGGAGTAGGAGTAGGAGTAGGAGTAAACCATAGTATTAAACTGAATTTCTTCCATTTGAATTGTCTTAGCAAGATTCTGAAGATCACCTGGCAGGATAAGATACCAGACACTGAAGTACTTTCTTGAACTAAACTGCCAAACATTCAAACTGCTTCAGAAAGTGCAACTCTGATGGGCTGGCCACGTTGTTCAAATGGAAAATGTATGATTGCCAAAAAGACTATTTTATGGAGAACTCACACAGGGCAAGCGTTCACAAAGCGGTCAGAAGAAGGGATACAAGGACACTCTCAAGGTCTCTCTTAAGATCTTTGGAATTGATTGCGTGAAATGAAGACACTAGCACAAAACCACTCAACATGGCATGCCCACATCAGTGAAGGTGTTGTGCTCTGTGAGCAAAGCAGAATTGAAACAGGTTAAAGGAAATTCAAGATGCACAAATTTAGAAAATCCACTCCAAATGTTCACAGGGACTATTTGTGCCCAAGTTGTGGTTGAACATTCTGACCTTGTGTTGATCTGATCAGCCATAGTCAGATATACTGTGACTTGACTCTGGCATAGTGATGTCATTTTGGTCCTCTTCAAGAATGAAGGACCAAACCAAACAGTAGCTTTAGTAATAACAATAACAATGACAACAATAACAACAATAACAACAATATAGAAAGGGTTTAGAAAACATGGCTTAATAGAATACTTAGTGTGATGTCAAATGAGCTGGGATTGAATTCTAATTGTATTACTTCCAATTGTGTGGCCTAGGACAAGGTACTTTATTTTTGTGGAACTTAGTGTTTTCATTTATAAAATGAAGAGCCTTTAAAGGTTTGTTCCATGTCTAAATTCTGTCATATTATACACACTTATTCTATGGGTAAGAAACAGACTGAGCTGTCTCATAATCCTTAAAAATCTAACACAACACATTGTCAGAAATTCAAAGGCCAGGTCTGTATTATACACACATATAAGCATGTATGTATACACACACACACATGCATGTATATATGTATACATATGTTCATATATATATGCATTTATCTATTTGTGTGTATATAATGTAATATATTTACATATATGTAGTATATGTTCCTCCCCACCAAGGGAAGGAAAGTACAGGAAACAGCTATGCCTTCTCACTTCCTCCCTTATTCCACTCATGGAATACACACACACACACACACACACACACACACACACACACACACACACACACACATTTATATAAGTGTATCTATATCTATGTGCTTATGTAATACATATATACAGAAACATTTATATGTATGTATGTGTAATGCAGTCATTTGATTATATATGCATATATATACACAATATTAAGGATACACACATAAATAGTATATCTATATGTATATACAGTATACACACATATATTATCCATGTTAATTTATCTACCTATATACATATCCATATATCCATATATGCATATACATACACGTGTGTGTGTGTGTATGTGTGTGTATGTGTGTGTGTGTGTGTGTGTGTATCTCAACATGGATAAATTACCATTGTTTTCCACTTACAATGGTGATGTGTTTGTTGCATCTTAAAGCAATACAGATAGCCCCAGGTAAAATTATAATAAAGAGGTAAACAGAGGCTATCCTTTGATTGATCCTTCTATCTGGTCTTCCTATATTCCTATAATTTGTAGCCCCTGTCCTGTGCCTGGCATCCAGAGCATCATCTGCCCTCTGTTTTGGCACCCACCAAAGCTATTTTCTTGATTAAGTCCTTGAAACTTTTTTTTTTTTTGAGAAGCCTGGGAGTTGAGTGAGAAGCCTTGTCAGTCATGTCTTTTGGATGGTGGAAGTTCAGTGAGAGGAGGAGTATTTTAGTAAAAATCAGTGAGTGAAATAAGGTAGGAGGTATAGCTGTTTCCTTTGCTCTCCTTATAGAAAATCTTTGGAAAGGATTTTCAAAAAAAAAAAAAAGGGCATATTGGCAGCAATGGATTTGTGGCTTTATCAAGTAAAGCTTTTCCCCTCATTCTTTCATCAAAACTTACCCTATATTCCCATTGATAGGATCATAGATAGTAAGGATCCCAGAAATAGAACTGGAAGAGAACTCAAAGGCTATCTACTCCAAATGTTTCATTTTACAAATGAGAGCTAAAGTGACTTATCCAAGGTCATGCAGATAAGGAAGCATGATAAACAGGCATTGACCAGGTCCTTAGACACTGAGCCAGTTGTCTTGTTATGATACTCTTTTCTTTCTTCTTATCTCTTGCTGGTTAACTGTCTTTTCCTTTAGTATCTGATTGTGACAGTTGACCATATATCCAGTGTTTAACTAATTACAATGCTTATATCTCTAGGTCAAGCATTAGATGATTCATCCAACCATTAGAAATATTTATAAGGTTCCAATTAGTCTACAAGCATTTATTAAGACTACTATTTTCCAAAAACTCTACTAAGCTCTAGGAATTAAAGAAAAGGCAAAACATGCATGCACATGGATGCATGCACACACACACACACACACACACGCGCACACACACACACACACACACCCCTAGTCCCTTACAGACTACCGTATAATATACTATGGTAGACACTGAGAGACATTCAAAGATAAGTAAGGTTTGGTCCTTACCTTCCCAATTCTAATACTGTAGCATGTATGGCAAGACACGTATTAATTTGATACAATGACGGATCACTCATCTCATGGATAAGTATATGCCTTTAAACCATGCAGATTGAAATTCATCAAAGCCTTTTTAGATGACTCTCATCCAGGTCTTCCTTTAAGTCCTCCTTATGGGATTCATACAAGTTGCTGGAGGTCTTTGTGCAGATGTATCAACAACACATGGATACCATTGAAGCATGGAGGCTGTTCATCAGTGAACTTTTGCCCTTGCTGTGAGACTGATACATCCGTTTTTCTAGTTATACATCATTTTGATGATTTCCTTTACACCGCTTTTCCTAAAGTTTTCTTTATTGGTGATATGCTGCATTATAGTCACAATCAGACACATTGTGGACACATTGTAACTTGATAGTGATATCATTTTGGTCTTTTTCGACAATGAAGGGCAACAACCATCACAGTTACAATCATGTTTTTCTGCATTGCCTTTGGGTGACTCTCAGATTTAACTTATCAGGAACTGTTCTATATTATAACTAACAGCATTGCTAGAATAAGATTGATGTTACATTTGGTGGTGTTGATGGACCTTTAATTCAGGAAGGAACTTGGAGTCACTAAAAGCACTGTACAAATTTCCAAATAATAACACACCTTGTTCTCTTCATCCTACTAAATTATGGGCCCAATTTGTTGTCAGTCTTCAGTGTCCATTCAAAATATATTTGTTGTGTAGAATAGCTTTATAAGCCACCTGTACAACTGTAGGTCATAGGCTGAACAATAGACATTCTTCATTCACTTGTATTTGACTAGGGGCATCTTAGACTCATAATTAAATAATTATCAAATTCATCTACAAGTTGCTGCAATGTTCCAGATACTGATGAAGCCAGCACAATATCATCCATAAACTGAAACCTCTGAAAGACCTTACCATAGGGCATCCCTTCTTCAATTTTGACTCTGTGGAGGCCACCCTTCATGACTGCTGACTTTGTAAAATTTTGAACTGGATGTTACATAAGTACCTCAAACTCATCACATCCCCAACAGAATTGTCTTTCTTCCTATCAATCCCATTCCTCTCTTGAATTTCCCTACTTTAGTCATCTTTCTTTTCAGTTACACAAGATTGTAATATTGGAGCGTTCCTTGTCTCCTCATTCTGACCAATAATTTGCTAAGCCAAACTCCTCAACATATTTTGGGTCCATCCTATTCAAAGTATACTTACTACTATATTTAAGTAAACTAATATACTACTCTACAGGGACTAATCACTACTTACCTGGACTGTGGCAATAACTTCTTAATTTATCTCCCTGTTTTAGGTTTCTCCTCTCCAATCCATCTTCCATATAGCTGCCAAAATAAACCTAAGACAGAAGTTTTACCATGTCACTACTCAAAAAAACAAAACAAAACAAAAA